GATTCAAACGCGAGTTTTGAGCAGTGTAGAGTAGTGCTTGTTGTTTGTTGTTGTTGTTCTCCGGTCACAAATGCAGATATGGTTTTATGTTTACACGGTGCGATATGCAACGCGTAAAAAGACAGTATAAGTCATTATAATCAGTAATGATGTCCCCACTGGATGCAACAAATGCCTCGTTTATAATGGGTTTTAATGTTTTTGTCTCGTCGCTCCATCCGTGACACGGCATCACAGTATGGCAAGGGGCGTAACCTTTCCGTCACACGCTTGAGGTATTCGGCTAATCACAACGCATTGGATAGCTGGCCAATCAGAGAACACCTCGCTTTTCAGACCGATGAGCTTTGTAAAAATCGACGCGTTTCAGAAAGGCGGGACATAGAGGAGAAACAATAATGTACAGTATGTGGAAAATGTGTTTTTTAACCTTAAACCGCATAAACACATTTCATTACACCAAATACACAAAATAATGTTCTTTTTAGCAACATCATATGACCCCTTTAATAAAAGCCCTGCAGATGTCAGAAAATCACTTTAGTTGCTAAATAAATTGGGAGATCTGGGTACAGGTCACATGGGGGAAAAATACACATTGTTCATTTATATGTACTACCAACATTGTAATGATACAAATCTGTCTTTTAACATGTCCTTTAACTGTGGCTGAATTCTTTGTCACTGTAACTTTAAAAATGTGTTCAAATTAGAAAATAGATGTTGCTTACCTCACTGTCAGTCCTGTGCTGATATAGTTGTGTTGTTCCTCCACAGACCTGAAGGCTTTTGAGAGGAGACTGACAGAGTATGTGTCTTGTTTGCAGCCGGCTACAGGTCGTTGGCGCAGTAAGTCAGTCCAGCTTGTCTGGTCTAAACTTTATTGAATCGCTTTCAAGCAGTTTAAAACCTGGACTATGTGTCTGGTCTGAGCCAAGATCTGTACATGATTTCCAAGTGTCCATAACATATTCATCAACAAGGACTGAAATTAAGTATATTGTGCCTTACCTTGCCTCATTTTAATTCATGACTTCTGTCTTCTTTTTGCAGTGATTCTGATCGTGGTGTCTGTGTGCACAGCCACAGGAGCCTGGAACTGGCTGATAGATCCAGACACTCAGAAAGTATGTGAAATGAAGAGGTGTCAGATTAGCGTCAAATGTCGCATTCTGCTTAGTTGCCCTTACAGTTGTTTGTCTGTCATGTCTTCTAGGGGTGTAACGGATCGTAGATGATCCGTGATCCGTATGGATCAGGCTGCACGGTTCAGCACGCATGCGATTCGCGGATTAACTGTTAAGTTTAACCATCATAGAGTTAACGTTTATCATTTGCAAGTTTTGTCTTGCCAGTTTACACATTCAAGCAATTTTAAGCAAGTCTTCTGTGCGCTCAGCCACTGCCGCACACACCCGAAGCGCGCGCACACAGAGAGAACGAGAGACACCGCGTGAACAGCGAATTGATTCCTCTTTCACATACACACAAAGTTATGTTAAAATACCCGTTTTGGCAAGTATTCTAGTAAACACAGTCGGTTGTGTCTTAAGTGAACGTAAGCAGCTGAGGAAAAAAAAATTATATGTGTCAGTATTAGGTCCGTGCATTTGGTCTTAAAGTAAATACCTGTTTCTGTCTGCTAATCAAATAACACCACAGCTCTAACAAAGATTAATCTGTATTTAACTTGTGCAGTGAGCACTATTGTGTTTTTTTACACTTAATTATTACATTGCACTGCACCTGAATGCTACTGTTACTTTGTAACTGTGTTTTGTTGTTTTCATCTATGCTTGTAATTTGTGTAATTGTTCTTGTTTTACTACTAACTTTATTAGTTAAGCTAGTAGTTTTTGCTGTGGTATAGAAGTACTTAAAGTAAGTTTTCACTATTTTTTTTTTTATTGCTGATCCGAAAAATGATCCAATCCGTGACTCAAAATCCGTAATATGATCCAAACCGTGAGTTTTGTGATCCGTTGCATTATTAATGTCGTCTCTTTCCACAGGTTTCTTTCTTCTCATCTTTATGGAATCATCCATTTTTCACTATCAGCTGTGTGACTCTGATTGGCCTTTTCTTTGCTGGAATACACAAACGAGTTGTCGCACCATCTATGTATCCTTCTTAATACAGGAAATTTGTACTGTCCATTTGTACGGTCTTCATTGTATTCAACAGCTAATCTGTTGACTATTAACAATTACAAAACTGCAGATGATAGGTGACTCCCAAATCTCTCCTTAACCCCTTGCAGTATTGCAGCACGCTGCCGGACAGTACTAGCAGAATATAACATGTCCTGTGATGATGTGAGTACTTGTGTCCTTTGAATTGCCCATTGTGATCTTTCAGTTTCACTGCTTTAAGAATCCAAAGTAACTTTTCTTGTGCAAACATTTGTATTTTTTCCTCTCACATACTAGACGGGGAAACTTATCCTGAAACCACGGCCTCATATCCAATAGCACTTTGAAGAGACAGAAATGGAGAGTATTTCATATCAACATATTAATCATCAAGATAGGCCTCAATGCCAGGAGTTTATCCAAAATGTGTGAGGATTGACCTCCCAAATAGGACTCTAAATTCCCTCTGCAATTTATGAAGAAGCAATGGGAGCTCAAAAGGAAATGTCTGTTTTGAAGAAAAACATTGTTTCTGCTATTTTTAGATAACATCCTTATATTTCTGTTGACAATTTTGAGTTTTATTTGATTGTGGATTGTGATATCCTCAATTGTAAAGCTGTTCTATTTTAGATGCATACGGTGTATGTATTTTTAAGTAAATTGCTGAACACATAATAAATATTGAAGTGTAGATATTTGTTCACCTTAAGCTGATTTCTACATATGTAGGCAACATTTGTGAAATGTTTATGCCTATGACATGATGTGCTGCTTTTTGTTGTTTTTAAAAGTACTTTTATGTGACCAAAGGCTGCACTAGTTGTTTAACATAAAAGGGAGACAGGCAAATGCATATTAAATGAGTGTCATGGTTGGCTGAGATTTTATTTACTTTCACTCCAGAGTCAAAGTCTACAAGAAAATCTTTAAATGAGCTGTGTTGGCAATAATAAAAGTTGTTTGTTATATGCTGTTTGTTGCTATTTATTATTAACCTGCAAACCAGTTAACTTGTCAGCCAATGTGTCTGCTTATCCAATTCCTATAGCCCAAACAGTATAGCATACACTCAAAATATTAGGGAAGCATCCAAATGGACTATGTGAACAATGCAAAGTAGAAGATACAGTAACCCATGCAATTCTTGAATGCAAGAAATATGAAGAAAGAAGTAATATGATAGTTGAAATCAAGAAGAATGGCATTCAGGTGGTACATTTTAAATCTTTAATAAAATGGGCAAGTGAAATAAATAGTAAAGCTTTCTTTAATTTTCTTAAAAGGACGGGATTAATAAGTAGAATGTCACTCTCCGTTCCACACTCCGGAGCAGAAGGTGGCGGTAATGCACCTAATTATGTTGGTTGCCAGCCGCCGTTAAAAGCCAAGAAGAAGACAGTACAACCTGGTGCTAGCAATGCAAAGGTTAAAGGGGTCATTTGATGCTTTTTTAAATTAACACTCCAAAGAGAAAGGAAAACTGGAAATCGCATCATATGACCCCTTTAAGCTTTTTTGCGCTATTTTCATCTTCCGGGCTTCAAATCTACATCGTGTTGACGTCACAATTTGTGCAATGGAGTATAGTACATAGATGACGCATCGGTGTCTATTAAATTATTAATGAGACTGCTGTTCTTATCCTGTGAGAAGATGATTCGCTTAATTATTCACAACAGCATGTGTTGATTTGCTATGACAGACGTTTAATTCAGACTGTGAGATGACATCGCGCACATTAACTGAGAGAAACGTTCATGGATCTAAGAAGAGTGTTTGTTTTTGCTTTGCAATAAGAGTTCGGCACAAACGCGATTCATTCACTTGGCGAGCATAACCGTTTTTACAGCTCTGTGACACAACCCGTCAAAAGGCTTATATAAACGCCACAGAAGAAGCCTTTAACGTCCTCAGAGGTGCAACAGCGCGTTCATATAAGTTATATGTTTTCGATGCAAAGTGCAAATGGCTGTGCATTTATTTGTGTTTTTAACTTGATGGGAGCGAAATGAAACTGTCTGAACGGGAGTTACTTCAGTTATAGCCAGAGCCATTGAAAAACAGAGTTGCGACAAGCTTTGATCAAGAATATATTTCAGAATGCACAGAAAGAGTTAAGGGTTTATGATTTTCTTATAAAATATTTGAGAGATACAGATTTGATTAGAAGAATTTAGTTTAGTTTGTTTTCTTCTTCTTTTTAATAGTGTATCATATTTTCGTTCATCGAGGCCTCACACTCCATCCCAGTAGGTGGCGGAAATGCACCTTAAGCTCGTTTGCCAACCGCCATTAAACACAGAAGAAGAAGAAGAATCTCACGCCACGCACACGGCCACCGTACTTGCTGTAAACATGGCGTCCGACGAAGATAGCGATGAGGATTTTGTGACTTATGGAACTCCTTTAGAGCCTCTGGAAGAAGGTACGATATATGTGCAATGAAGCTGTCATTTGGGGGAATTTGCAGGTTTATGATGCATTGGAGCTGTGAATGTTTTAATGAAAACTACTGGCGTAGAAAGCACACATTTCTCTACTCAATTCCACGGTATTCGTATATGTGTATTTCAGATGAACCCGTCAGAAAGCCGGTACCTGTGCACGAGCAGACGGTTAAAGATGAGAAGGGTCGTTACAAGAGATTTCACGGTGCTTTCACTGGCGGTTTCTCAGCTGGTTACTTCAACACAGTTGGCTCTCAAGAAGGTCAGTGACAGACTTGCTCAGTGCACTAAGGCTTTTAATTCTGTTTACCAGGTCTTGTCGCAGTTTAACTAATCTGCTGTGTTCTTTAGGCTGGACTCCATCAACGTTTGTATCATCCCGACAGCAAAAGGCAGAGAAACCGAATATTAGACCAGAGGACTTTATGGATGAGGAGGTTTGTGTGTGGATCTCAGTTCTCCACATCAGTAATACAGTGTTTTGATACCTGTAAAGTTCTTGTCATGTAAGTTTTGTCTAATAAAGAATATGTTTACTTAAAGGATTTTAGTGAGCACGGTATTGCCCCGCGAGAGATTGTCCCCACTGATGATTTTGCATCTGGGAAGAAAGATCAGTTAAAGGACAAGGCAAGAGCGGTCAGCTCTCTTGCTGCTCTGATACCTGGAGACACTGGACTGCTGGAGGAGCTCATTGCCCCTGCAAGGTACTCAACACTCTCTAACTAATATGATCCAACTAAAACGTAGTTGTAAACTAAAGTTTTTACACTACATTGCATTGTGATGCCAGGTCATCCATTGGTGTGGAGCTGCTGAGAAAAATGGGCTGGAAAGATGGCCAGGGAGTCGGACCAAGACTGAAGAGAAAGCAACGCAAGCAAAACGATGGTGATGAGAGAATATGTAACATGTTTTGTTTTAGCTGCAGTGCTGGTTTTATGTTTTGGGTCTGAAAAGGTTTGAAAATGTTAACATTTCAAAAAGCTTCGCTTTTCTCATCTTTCAGATGCGGTTAAAGTTTATGGCTGTGCGTTCCCTCCCAATGGATCAGAGGAGTCAGAGGTGGATATTGTTTAGCCTATGATCAGATTCATTTGAAGCTTATTATGGCTGTGTCCAAAAGCGTAGACTTTCATGACTGTTTAAAAAGTATGTTCTGTATAGCATAAATGTAATCTTGGGCCTGTTTCAATAAGGAGGTTCAACCAACTGAGTTAAAACTTGAACTCTGAGTTGACTTACTCTGAGTTTTCGGGTTCAGAACAGCTGAATTGAGTTAGTTCAGTGGACTCCGAGTAGGTTGACTCTTGAGTTTATCGTGTGCACCACGACTATGAAAAGCCATGATCAATGGAGTGCCGAAATTATGAATCACCATGGCAACAGCACCTGACAAAAAGACATCTGCATACTTCATGGTCAATACAAGTTTTATTCTTATCACTGTTATAATATCACAGGTGAAAACTGGCAGAACAGTAGGTTATTGAACTAATAGGCTATTCATTTTCATGGTATCCCACGGGCAAAAAAATAATAATAATAATAATTAGCATACTTTCTTAGCGATAGATCCTATTTACAGTAGGCTAAGTGCAAATAGCTCTAGATGCTATTTGCGCTTAGTGAAAATAGTGATATATTCTATTTACCATGTAAAAGTAGCAGTTCTTTGCAATAAGTGTAAATAATAATTAGATGCTATTTACACTTTATACTGGCGGATACATACTATTTGCACTTCAGTATTGTTGTACATTAACCGGATGCAATAATAACAGAGTGTAAAGGATTATATTTATTAAAATTATAAATACTTTTATCATTATTAAACACTCGTTAGGCACTTCCACTTTTAGAACATTTTCTTCATTTTTATTGAAGATAAATTCTAATGTGATGGGAAAAGTAAGAAGAGAGAGCTCGGCAAGAGACTCTGGGTTTACCGAAGAAAACCTGCTCCTGACCAGGTTAGGTTCACAGAGTAATAAGTTACCACGGTAACTGACTCTGAGTTTAAGTTACCTCTCTTTCAGAAACGGGCTTGACTTACCCTGCTTTCTCGGGTTTGACATACCTCCCATTCTGAAACGGAAAACCCAGAGTTTCCCTCATTTCAGGGTTAACGTACTCAGTTTTCACTTAACCTCCTTTCTGAAACGGGCCCCGGGACATACTACATTTGCCATGCTGTCGTCATTGTCATGTGACTTACCAGGGTCAGTTGGCATAGTAAAGTGTCCATTGGATGCGCAATTCAGAAAGTAGTAGATCATCTGGGTACTTTTCATCTACTGTCTTATGAATACTGTAAATTCAGTTACACTACACGTGCTGTTTTTTCACCTACTGTATAGTAGGGGAGTATAGATATTCGGATACAGCCTATGTGATTAATATGTGCAGAATGGACTTATTTACTGTTGAACTTAATATAGTCAGACTGAAAAAATTATATACCTGATTTTTCATTTTTGAGGATGAAGATGAATTCGCTCCAGAGAATGTGTCATTTGCCCCCAAAGATGTGGTCCCAGTGGACTTCACCCCTAAAGTCGACTCCCATGGTCTGGGTTACCGAGGGCTGAATCCTCTTCAGGCCTTGGGTGGCGGATCAGAAACGGGACATATAAACCTCTTCACGCTTCAATCTGACAGAACAACCAGCTTATTTGGAGATAGAAATTCAGGACAGCAACGCAGGGGTGGGATTGGAGGACAGGTAAGGCCAAAGTGCCGTACAATCAGTAATGGCCTAAAAAATTTTATTTGAACACTTCTATTAGAAGATACATGCTGACACAGTGTGTGCATGTGTGCGCAGGCATTTGGTGTTGGTGCAATGGAGGAGGAAGATACTGATATTTACCATAAAGACTCCATGTCCAACTATGATAATGTTCTGGGAGGAGAAGAACCAGGGGATGGCCTCTACGGATGGACAGCTCCACAGCAGTACACCAGGAAGAAGAATGGTTGGTGACAGGAAGTACTTTGCTGTGTTCTCATAAAGTCATGATACTTCCCGTTATTTAGGTTGCATCAGGATGTCAGAACTGGATTCTATTTGAGTGACTATTGTAATGTGAGGCTTGCCAGGAAAAATGGTTTCTCTATGACAAATGTATTTGTATTTGTATTTTTTTTTTTATCCAGACCCCAAAAGAGATGTGGCATATTTGGGCAGGATTCTGGATGGGTTTACATTGGCCTCCCAAGTCACAGAGATAAAAACGGTAATATACTTTTTGTTCACAATGACAGTACAGTCAACCATCCCACAGCCCGATTCCCACACTCCGTCTCGAACCTCTCCAACCAAATCTCAGGCTTCCTCTGAGACACAGATGGCTTTGAAAGCTTGGTCCGGTCCCACTGCAGATCCAGTTCCTTTATTAACTTATTTGCTGTGAGGCTCATTGGCTTTGTTTTCTAGGTCTATCCTCCCCCTGATTTGCCCCGTGATTATCGGCCTGTACATTACTTCCGTCCTGTGGTTGATTCATCCACTGTCAG